TACTACTACTACTACTAATAATAATAATAATGTTGAGGCATTTCTCAACAGTTTTGAGTTAGTGCGTATATCCGTCGTTTCAGTATGTCCAGTGTCCGTGTGGTTCCCTAACCGATTAACCCCGCGCGCCGTGTTGTCTGCCATGTGCTTATTGTGAGTCGTYCATCGTTTGGTAAGTGTTTGTTCTCTCTTAATTTTCATCTTGTTTTTTGTCTTCTATTCGCATTGTTTGTGAGCTAAATGTGCCTCGTTTGTTCGTGGTGTTATAAGTGTTTAACTTAATGTCTTTTTTCTAGGATTTTACTTTTCTGTGTGTAAAACCAATCGATTTGAACGCCGTAAACATTGTTGTGTAATAAACCTTCTACAAATAATAATAAACCAACATTATAATAAAATAGCTATATTTATAATAATGATACTTATAACAATAATAATGATAATAAATATTGATCTGGTTTTTTTCTAAAGCGATTTCGAGTAGTTTTGCTTTGAAATCTAGCGATATTCCTGTGGTAACATCAACTCGAAGGTTTTCCATGTTAGTGTTGTTATACGCCATTTATTTTTAACAACTACTTGTAAGTGGACTGAAGATGTTTAAGTAAATGAAACCGGTCTCCACTAAATGACTCGTTTTAAGTGCGTGAAAGATGTTTTAAAAAGGAATTTAGCCTTATCAATACTATCGATCATGACGAATTTATCTAAATCTTTCGAGGTCTCAGCAAACAAAATATCTCAATATTCCAATGATTCACGTAAAACATTGCAAATTATTAATGAACTGAACTTCGTCTTTAAATAACAAAACAGTGATTAATTAGATAAATAATGGTGGTAAAATATTGATTAACCCATAGTTAATAGCTAACCCGACTGAAGTATCTGAGTAATTTAATCAATACTTTGCATAGATTTGACCAGAACTCATTAAAAACATTAAGGCCAAACTGACACTTGCTATAAATACTATCCATTTAACACCGAAAAGCGCCACTTGTAAGAGCCGAAGTGGTAGCTCTGCTATTGATGGCTTGCAAGCATTACCAAGAGAGTCAAAAGACAAAAACATGGCAGCCATTGTGGTGCCCTTAACAATGGATGCTAATGAGAAATCTTTTGTTAAATGGTACCAATATGGCCGCGATGACGTAACCTGCAATCGAAGAACAAAATTACTACTAAGTACTTACTTAATACTAATGCTACCCAGGGTCCGACAAGGACCGTGGAGCACGTAAAAAAGTGAGATATGAGAGAAAGGGAAGTACGTTAGATTTTCAATATAGAAGAAGTAGTGTAATCCTTGGAAAACTTCTAATTCATTCCCGTTTTCTTTTCCTAGACTGTAAAATCCAAGCCAATCTATCTCGTATAAACCATAGAGCTGTCTACAACAAGCAGGAAACTCTAGCTAATGGACTCCTGTCACCTTCCTGAGCAATCCCACTTACTTTAAAGAAAGATAATCTGCTTGGCAAAGGTAAATGTGAAATAAGTAATCTTCTTGTTATGTACCAACTGTCAAAATCATTTAACCACGACTCCAAAAAATGACATAAAAAACTACGATTTATTTCACTACAGATTGACACGGTGGTCTGCCGTTATGCTCATGCATTTACTAGTAAATATTTTAAGCATCCCGTATGAAGGGTATGTGACGTATATATGCTTACAATATAAGATATAACCAAAGCCTATTTTTTCATGTGCTCTGATTGCGAAACATGGTATCGCGTAATCATATGCCAGTTTCTATGTTTTCTTGGCAACGACTCTCAGCGGGTTGCAATACCCTGTTGACCGTAATAACAGACAACTGCGAATATTGATTGTGAGCATTGTGGCAACCGTTGACCTTGGTATATGTGCGCTTGTCACAAAGTTGTTGAACTGAGAAAAACAAAACGTAGAATAGGCCATTTCACGGATCCCGTTACTCAACCTCAGCCTCGTCAGCGTGTAATATATTCTTTAGAAATTGCCTACAACCAGTGAATTTTTTAAGTGTTTCAATTGTTCTTTGATGTGAAAATTCCTTTCATTACTGCGGACTGTATTCAAATTCTAAAGAATAATTACACGCTGACGAGGCAGAGGTTGAGTAACTGGATCCGTGAAATGGCCTATTACAAGCAAAACAAAGGAAGACATTGAAAAGTTGTAGTCAATGTAAGTTTGGTTTAAGTCAGATATTTAAATTTCACCCTTAGTTTGCAAAGTGCATTTTCATGTGCACCGTGTGTTCGGATTTATCTGAAATTCCAGCCATAATACCTTCGAATGTTAATCTAAATCATATGTCAAATTCAGCTTGGGTTATTCAATGAGCGCTTCTTTTCACGAAACGCTCGAATTCAGAGAAATTTGCGATTTTTTGGACTCGGCAAGCAACGAAGCCTGTTCGAGGCAGACATAACCATATCCTTTTAAAATATATCAAAATATATTTTCTGGGCGATCAGTTCTGACTGTTATTTTGATATTATTGTTTGTTGATTGAATATTAAGTGCAATCAATCGTATTTTTTTGCTTTTTGGTTTGCAGTTTTTCGACATTAGTTTAAAATAGTGTTACTATAAATTATACAATTTGTAACAATCATGTAAACACACGCATCGGCACAATCTATATATGATACTCTACAAGCACATAGAACTTCAGAGTTCTAAGAAAGAGTTACATTTAGGCCAGATTTAGGACATTTAAACTACAAAAAACTATAGAGCCGAACTAATTCGATAAATTGCTTGATTATTGTTCATACCTAATACTGAATTTTGTCTTCTATTGTATATTTTTTGCTCGCCGCATACTTAGACAGTATAGCGTAAATTACCTTTGATCAAACTTGCTCCCAGAGACCGAATGACTTTATTTTACGCACAGTTCCTTGCTGAGGTATATGCTGAGGAAATTGTCTAATTTTGTATCAAAGTATTCTCTTTAGATTCATAAATTCATAAATTTCATTTCGAGGAGAAGGGAGGGCGGGGGAAGGGGGGTTGGAAAGTAGGGGGAAACCCAAAAGTTTGACTAAGGAGACTGAAAATCGTGCGATTCATGTTCTCTCTTTTTTTCCGAGAAAAAAATAAATGACTGATATTCAAAGATAAAACAACATAATTAACAATTTAAGCATTTTGATTAAGATCATAATTTTTTTCAAAAACCGATCGTGACAGCAGCATTTTTCAGGAAATTAAAGGAGTTCTATTTACGCCATTTCACCTATTCATTATATAATTACTGAACCAAGTATTTTCAAAATAAAATCTGCAGCTGAGGTCCATAAGGAAAATGAAGAGGTGTTAAAATTGATGTTCTCTAGTTTGCTTTATTTTTATACGCAAGCACCTTGCTCAGACCTACCATTTTCATCTCGGATTTAGGCCGAATTAAGGGTGCCGACGGCCAAAGCCGATTCTCACGATTTTCTTAAGATAAAAATCAAATTATTCAAAATGAAAATCGGTACGTTTATTTAGGTGGTATTCCACATGTTTGGACCAAATATGAACAAAATCTTTATTTTTTACGTGGCCACCGATTTTTGACTAAATATGTTTGATTTTACAGACATTGCCTCTTAAAATTTATTCCAATATATTCAGTTATTCAGGCACCTTTGAATGCTAAGGTACCAAACCAAGTCACCAGTGATGACGTAGTAGCATCGAAAAGGGCGGCTCCGGTTGCTGCAGGCCTGGTGGCAAGAATAGCGGGAAACAAAAAAGTCCAACAGGCTTTAGTAGACAAGGGAATCGAAATAGCGGGGGAAATGGTTGACAAACAGATTGAAAACATAGAACAAGCACAAAATAAAGCCGCTGATTTTCTTAACAAAGAAGTAAGTATTGCTAAATTTTACTTGACGTCATTTCCTCTATAGAGTTTGTTCTGGTTGACAACACATGATGGCCAAATTACTAGGCCCAATAACAGAGTATGAGCTGTTTTCTTGTCGTTCAAAGTTTCAAAAATAGCTAATTTGTACATGTACAATTTAAAGATGGGTTGCCTGTGGTAATCTATTCATGCGATCGGAAAGTCAGCGGTTTTACTGTTAAAACAAAATGGCGGATGCATGCTCCACTGATTTCGGAAAAATAAGCATAGCAGATGCTTCGATACTATAGGTAAGTGAACAGTGCACAACAGTAGTCAAGTAATATTGACATTTTGACAAGAAAATATTGTATAATCAAGTTTTAAAAACTTATTAAAGTCATTAAAGCGGCTGGAAAATACAATTCTTTGAATAATATATTTATCAAATTATATTTTTCAAAATAATAATGTCAGTAACCAGATCTATAA